GTGGAGTTCAACCAGATCCCCTGTGAGATATTAGACAATGGTGTACGGTGGCAAAATTTCGTAGACTAGTTGAAGCTAAACATTAACACAGTTGGATGTCCGCTCAGTTGTCTAATGGTTAAGCGATCGCGCGCGGGACTGATAGGTCATGGGTTCCAAACTCGCGGCGGAGTGAGACCGAGGATGCGCATTGCAGAAGAGTGACAAACTAGGAAGAAGGGCCGTCCGGCGCTTCCAGGTTTTTCATGGTGGTCTAGCTCCACTTGACACATGACTTCGCCTATTAAAATTTCTAAAATCTCCAAAAAACCTCTTCTCATAATTTCATTATTTAATAGAACAAAATGGGAAGTGTCATACTTAAATAAAATGCGAAATTAAATGACCAAATTATGTCTCAAATGTTTCGATTCTAATAAGAGACTACCAGTCAACTCTTTACTACCTAACTTCGGCTGTTACAACCGCACAAAACAAGTAGAGTCTTACTGAAGTGATTTACTTTATTAGATAGGACGGATTAGAGAAGTAAATGGGGCGATTCATGGCGTGCAAGCTCACTATCTTACGCTAGTCATTCTTAGCATTGACAATTTCAACAAACTATTCGAAGTTCAGTGATCAGATTTAGAAATGGTTCAGATTGATGGATGATTTGGCCAGGACTCAGAGAGGTCTCACTAGGCCTACAAACTCTTCTATAAGCTTCCGTTTTTTATTCAGTTCACAGTCAAAAAATCTAATCATAACGATGACAAATGGTTTGTCAATACCTAAGTACTGGCCAAGGAATAGATATGTAAGCGTCTGAAATACACAAAGCATCTCAATACTGTCGTATCAGAAATATGCATCTGACTAGTCCCGACAAACTTGTGACATCCAAACCTATCGTACACCATCAGTTGCCACAACTCAAAATTAATAATATCCTTATGGGAACTGCAGTTCCAAGAAAAGCAGAGAATATTCCGCCTGCAAGAAACCAAGAAGACCAAATATACTGTAAGTGGTGACTGTCACCGACCACAGATGCCGCCAACGCGTTCAACAGAATGGGGTCTGGGTGATGAAGCTTCGTTTTGCACAAAAATGCCGAGTTTTGCATATTCATTTGTTGTCTTTCTGTGGATACTGTAGTACATGAATTCGGGTTTTTCATATATTGTCACAATATCGAACTCCTGATAGAGATGGTTGTACACTTGACTTGATATATTAACTGATCTCAGTTCGTGTCATTCGCAATAAATCTGGCAACCATACCTTGTTCATTTGTTGCGTACAGCTTTATGAATTGCAAGTAGACTCAGTTATTCTATGGTTGAACATTAGGCATGGACACTAAGGAGGTTGTTTGAACCATTGATCCCTATCATGTAACCGGTTAAGTTGTCTGCTATTTGGGTTTTGACTTCGCGTTAGGTAGTCATTCGACAGTGTCATGTATGATTTTCTACTAATTTATGCAAACATAAGTTTTGTCCGTTGTTTAGTTGACTGCAGGTGCCCTAGTTTGTACAGGAACGGATGTTTATGTAGATATCTTGTTACAGTACCAAGAGTTTGGGTTGGCAGTAAACCTAAAACTCATCAGAGTATTTGTGTGAATGGAAATTTGCCAGACTAAGTTGTGATCCAGGTCCTCTTAGTTCTACACATCAACACTCATGGACTTCTGATCATGTAAGCACCTTCCGTGCTTCTTTGAGGAGCAAACATGCAACTCCTTGTGTAGAGCAATTTCTTCATCGTAACCGAAATACAATGATAATTCCTCGAGCCTTCCCTTTCCGTCCAGATTGTGTTCAGTAGGTTCCACCTATTCCAAGCAGAATAAGGTTTTATCTTCATTTCCGCCGATGTTTGATTGACCTTCCAAAATTCTCTGTACATTTAGTGTATACATTTACCTTTGCTCTAGTTGCCAAACGAGGTATAGGGCCTATGGTCCTCAAAGACTCTGCTCTTACCATGAAATGTTACAAGTTCCATATTAACACCCTTCAATTCTCAGGGCACAGGTTGAGTGGTGTGGATGGTTTTTATGCGTGTCCTTCTCCTTACTTAGAATTTTCCTCTCGAGGTGGGGTTGCTAACTCTACACTAGGTCCTTAACTAGCGATCGGAACAGAGGCTCCGTGCAGTGTCGTATATGTATCAAGGGCTATATGCCCATCACTGAGCCACTGGCTAAGTGGGGATTACGGAAGACTGTGCTTGGTACATCTCAGTTTTCGGCATATACAGTTCTAATGATGGCATGCTCTGGGTCTATTCGGGGTTTGGGACGTTTGTACAACCGTTGTGGCAAAGAGCACGTGGCTCCGTACCTTGTCAGGTAGTGCCTGGACTGTGCACGAACTCATTCGCGTTGAATGCTTACGGTGATATGTCAGCTTTTTGATAATGACAAGAAGCTCGAGTCACTAGTCCTTTGTCTTAAATTAGGATAAATCTAACGGAAACCCTGACACCATTTCTCAGAAGATGTCTACCCAATTAAATGTTAGATGGCTGTTGTCGGACTCTATATTTTGGACAAACTAGAACGAGTACGTAGTCCGATCTAATCAACTCGCAAGAGAGCTTGACTCACTAACCAAATTAATTGAGTAAGTCAATTTAAATTATGTTGAGGATATAGATAATTGAAACATTACCTTAAGCTAATCCGTCGCTTAACTGCACCATATAGCTTTCCGAGTTTTGGCAATGTATTCATAACTTAAGATCTAGCATTCAAGTGCAGTATCGCGCAACACTACCACAGGAATTGTAGCCCAAATCCCTTAATTCCATGAATGAACCGTCAGATTGAAGATTCAGAGTCCCGGTAATTATACCTGCTTATAATTAAACTGCACACACCTATACGTACCACTCTGTACTGACTGAGATCGAGAAGTACTAATCTACTATTGAGTTCAAGATTAGATAGCACTAACCTACGTAAAGTCAAGTACTACTAATTTTATATCAACTACTTTCTTTTCCATCACTCGAAACTTGTTTCACTTGATGGACAAGAGGACAATCTGGTTGTTTTCGGGTAATTGGCAACGCTTGCTCTTATCTTCTAGTTATGATAACTTTGATCAATTTCTTGGCAGACAGGCTTTCATTTTACTTCCAGTGACTCAGAATAAAGTCATCCAACCAGAAGTTATTTAGAGATCTTCAATTTTTCTGCCCGATCAGGAGCCTTGAGACATGCTCTACTTTTGGTGTCCGATTTTATATGCTTAAATTGTTAAATAAGAAGCCGATTTTACACGACACTAGTAGACACATCATTATCGGTTTGCTTTACCAGACCGCATCACCACATTGCAATAAGATCATTTCAGGACAAATCCCAGAGTACTGGGAGTAGCAATTGAGAAGATCAGGTATAGAAAAAGAAAATGTATCGAGATTTTGGGACTCAGGTTTTAGGAAATGAGTGAATCCACCTACGTTATTGCGAAGATTCTGGACCATGTCAACCAAAATCTCTAACAGTTGGTTTCGATATTCGCGGATTCCAACCGTGCTGTCTACACTTATCTGCATAGCTCAGCCCAATGGTCAATGACTCCATGGACTGGTGCCGTGTCTTAGTTTCACCTCCCACTGGTCTCTCACAGTCTATTCCTACACCAGACATCCCTGTTGAAGGAAGCGGTAGTTGGACATACTCAATGCGTACCAATAACCTTAGGTGACCATTGCGTAGGCTTTTTATCGGGCTGAGTTTAAGCTGCCTACGCTCCTTATCGTGTTCAGGCCAAGACGTGATGAATTCTCGAGCATCCATCAGTTCAGTGGGCGCTACTGAAATCCATTGATATCTCTTCACGTTCTGGCTCAAGTTACTGGTAGGTATCACAGCTGTTTGAGCACCATGTCCGACTGCCTCGGAATGAATATCAGTCATGATTGACTAGTTGTTCCTGAAATATGTTCATCAAGTTGAACCTCAAGGGTTTTGTTGTTCCTTTCCTACGTCCAGTAAGATGCAGCTAAATACGTGCTTGCACTAGACTGCGACTCCAGTCTAAACATGCGTCCCAGTACGGTCGACAGCCTACTGTTGATCCCCTCCAACGGCGTCTGATGGCGATGTGGTCTATTTGCGTCCATCGCTGATCCGATTGTGAGGTCGCCGTATCAGATGGTGTTTAAAGTTGGCGCTTGTTATAACCAAGCTGCTATTTGTGCGTAATTACTGCATCCGTTTGTCGTTATCTGTTCTGCGAGCCGCAATACCGTAAGACCCACCTAACTGACTTTCAGTTTGATTTAAACTATCTACCTAAAAATAACAATTACCTCCCACCAGGACTATATCTGAGCGTTTGGCTTTTTTGGAGGTCGGAAGGCTTTCCATGAAACTCACCTTCTCCTCGATCCAAAGCGTAGGCAGAGGCAACGGTGTGCCCTCATATTATCGAGGTTTTGTCCCGTTTAGTCGGACAGCACAAAAGCGACTGTCTGTCAGAGTCCAGTTCAAGAAAACTTGTTCTGATTGTGAACTTAGTGCTATAGCCTGATATGCGAGACCGCTGCATTGGAGATCTGCAGACAACGTTTTTACTTACGGTTACTTCATTCAAAATCGTTTGTTGTTATGTATTTTCAAGTTCAGTGACATAAGCTGTTTATTTCCAAGTCATGAAAGTTCGGAGGGATAGATCAAGCTTGCTTGTTTCATTTAAATAAAGTTTATAAAGCCTATAGCTCGACAACAAATGCATCATTTTCTAGTATATAGTAAGAGGAATGCAGAAGAGAATGGATTTTATTAGATATGTTTGTTTTATGAAAATATGTATCAAACTATCATCGTAGCAATGTATATCGTCGTGAAACACAAGAGTCGATTGGAAAAACAGATGAATTATATTGGTGTAATGTTGATAATGTGTTTTACAATTGGTGATGCTTACCGCATAATTTCCCGAATAGAAAAGATATGAAACAACTTCGGATGTTATGTAGGGAAATGAGATTCAACTTCAGGTTTTAAAGAAATCGGAAATTTTGGTATTCCACCTATCATACAACACACGATCTGCAGCGGCGAAGAGGCCCATTTCGCTTTGTATACCTGAAGAAGATTTTGAGCCAAATCCAAGAGGAGAACCATGCAGTCCGGTAAGACGACCACCGACAGATTCCAAGATTGCTTGTGGTGCACAAACATCCCACCGACGTGTAGTTGATGGGTGAATATACACATCTGCATCTCCTTTGATAAGACTGATAGCTTTAAAGCCTACGTAAGAAACACACATGTAAGCTGGAAGTTACTAAAATACTATGTTACATACTTTAAAAGTATAATTTACTTTATTTCGCACCAGTGATTCACAAATTCATATGGTCATGAGAACGTATTCATGTTACTTTTGATAGTCGTGAGTGTTCCTAAAAGTATTTAATATATTTGTATGGTCATACAATACATTGACTACGTTGAAGTCGTAAAATAATATTTATCAACTTATCAAAACATTAGATAACTATTCAGGATAAGTTTCATTGAACAAATCCCAAAATCAAAATTAGTTTAACGTAACATAATTATCTGAAATCAAACAAGATAAGCAGAGCATTCTAAATCAGAATTCATGGAGAACCTTTAACCATTTTGAATCTCACTCTATATAATTTAAGTAATCAAGGTGATAGAGTAGCTTTGAGTCAGTCAAAATTAATTGACGACTATGCATTATGAGATAATTAATTATCAACCAGTTTCTTAACGTATATTTGTACGAAATCTAATTTCTGAGTAGCTATTGTGATAAAGGTCTGAAAGATGAATATCGTTTATCCACCAAACCGAAAGCTGTTTCTCAGAGCGTTCGTTTGATTATTACAGAAAATGGTACGGCCTTTTGGTTCAAGCTCAGTTAAGGACGATGTTTATTATTAAACTGCAAACAATCCAACCTAAAAATTCATTTCGAAATTCCAAGTGTGGTGACGTACTACAACACTTAATAATTGAACAATTAAAAATACTTCCACCGAAACATTCAAAAGTACTCCTATTCATTTATGATGATGATAAATCATTACAAATGTCTAACGTTCCGACTAAATTAAATAAAAAAATAAGGGTTTAGAATGACTATTACGTCAGGGTAACTAGGATATCGAAATGGGAATTCCAACACAAATTCAAAACAGTCAATGGTTATGGTTTATCTTTACTTCCAGAATATAGGTAAACACGTCAGCAGCTAAAGTACAATCAATCGGACGCAACGTAGTACCAGGTATGTGCGTACATCAGATCAGGTTGCCATAACCAATAAACACAGCGAGATGTAATTGTTGGGGTAAATCCCAAATTAGTAAAAGTATCAGTGATAACAGGAAAGATTAAGCATCCAAGATATGACCTAAGAACAGATGAATCAGTGAAATAAGAAAATTATGTAAGGAATTTGGAAATCTGGAGTCTGAAGAAAGATAAGGAATGGGTACACCGGTGTACTTGCGGACGATCTGGATCCATGTCATTGAACAATTGGTTTCGATATTCGCGCTGATCCCAAGCATATTGTCTACACTTATCTGCACAGCTCAGTCCAACGGTTAATAACTTCATGGACTGGTGCTATGTCTTGTTTTTGCCACCCTATTTTTGCGTACAGCCTACTTCCTACACCAGAGATCCCCTGCTGAGGGAAGAGTTAGTTAGACATACTTAATAAGTACCTCAAGTGATGAAGATCTACATCATCAACTGACCTGTTATATTTACATAGCATCATATGTTTAACGGTAGAATTACCGACTACATGGTTCAAGAATACACGAGTGGTTTTGACAACATCTACGATCAAACACTGGCAAAATACCACTATCCTCTATTCCCAATGGCTACAATTCATGCCCATAAATTAGGATGGAGCAAACTTCTACGCAGTAAACTAGTCCTTTGGTTGGTAGACGGATATACCACCTGTGCCACAAGTTGGTCAAAGTCAACCGAAGTTTCTAAATCTGCGCCGGGATTTCGTCATGTACCAGGTCATCAGGACTGATGAGACTTTCAAGATAAGTGAGGCGGTTGATATGCTCGACTATTTCATGCAATGTCGTCAATTCATGAGTTAATTCAGGAGAGTGCTGAATCTACACTATGCATTAAGGGGAAGAGAATCCCACATTGAACAAGATTAAATTGTTACTCAAGGCGGTCAGAAGACTGCACTTTATTAACGACTTAACTACGCAGAACCGTATCACCTGCGTATTCTAGTTCAACTAGTAGATCTCCTAGTGGAAAATCAACTTCCGTTGACGAGTGTTATCCATAAAAGATACTGTAACAAAATAAAAATAATGAAGTTGGACGAACACCGTTTGAAGTGGAACAAATCAATATAACGACTTTCCATTAGTGAATGTATGATGAAAAAGAGTCATGGTTGATGACGTTCAAACGTAACCACCTTAATCTGAAACGTGTTACACGAGAATCTGCGTTGATAAGACTAATGGCTAAATTATAACCCGATGAATAAAATATCACCAGCACCATGGATTAGTGTAATGTCGTATTCAAAAATACTGGTGTAAATGCCTCAGTTCTGCAGGGAGTCAATGACGGCCCAAGAAGATCAGTGGCAGGTTCTCAGAAAGTTAGACTACTTCGAATCCCATAAAGCATAGAAGTCCCCCCAAGATTACGACTAAGCCTTAAAAATAATTACAATGGTGTCTTCCGATAGACTTATATTTAACGTCAGATAATCCAGTCATAAAAATTTTCGCAATGTTGTTCATTATTAGAAGATTAGCAAGCAGATGAATGTCTGGTTATTGTGTAAATAGTATGTACGATCTGTTTAATAGAAATTTTCCGAAATAAATGGAATATTTGGGATGGTGCTTAGGTAAATAGTTAAACCAACTCGTTTGTCGCTATGCCAATCAAATAATTTTGTGGACCTCTGAGAAGTAAATACCGACAAAGGCAAGTCTACCGGATGCTTGAACACCACTACTCAGAAGTTTGTTTATAAGGCTAATTTAAGGAGTAACTTTTGTGACTTTAAGGCCGGTTTATTATCACGTGATTTATTCGCCAATTGAAATATGACTTACTCAGTCTTAGTACTGTGCGGAACCAATGACGTTCGACCGGTATGAGCAACCTAGAGTCTTTATTGGTCAAGCCAAAAGTGGCTGCGAACGTTGGAGACAATAATCAATAAGCTGAGCATAATTTAAGGATAGTAAATCGTATAATAGTAATCTATAGGTCGAAATGAAGCTCATAACAGGAGGAATATAAATATACACAATCTAGTTATACACTAAGAATATATATAATATTAGTCCACTAATAGTTCTCAGAAGTTACTCTTAATTTAATCTTCGCTGGGATATAACAGTAACGACAGTTACTTCATAGGTAAAATGAAACTACACGAAGCGGAAGGTTCATATCAACTGGTTAAAGTGGAGATGTTAAAGTTTGGTTCGTATCTGTCGGACTATTATGAATGTTTGAATGAAGTCATAATCACAACTCAGTGGCTTGATAAGTTATTGAAAGTGCATAAAAAAAACAGAAGCTGACAGACATACTAATGTAGTTTTCTATTGCGCTCTATTAAAACAATCGTACGTAATTCCGAAGGGGATGAAATAAATATTTTCAGCGTGTTTTTACCACACCCGACACGGTTAATTTTCTTCACAAAATTAAGATTGTTTCGTTGTTTTCGACTACCATGTGCTTTTGAGCTATATATAAGTAACTTTAAGCCTATAAACCGTAAAATTATATTTTTACTAAGATCTGGTATATAACAAATTATAAAAAATTTAACAGATGTAATATGTATTTATAACATTTATCATTATTATGGTCGAATAATTTTTTGTAAGCAAAACATAGAAGTACTACTTACCCGCACCACCTGCTGGTATAAAATGAACTGGTTTCGGATATACAAGTTTGGTCAAATCTTTTATGAGTGATTCGTTTAAATGTGAACGTGAATAAGTAATCGACAAATCGTTTTTTAACGAATGAACAGGACGAGAATTTACAGCCATTTGTAAATCAGATGATAATGCATATGAACCCCAACCCCAGTCTATGATGAAGCAAAATTAGGATAATGTATACTAATCGAGTGAGTAAAATATCTATCAAATGAACTACCATGCGTCGAAGAATTAAAATATTTCGAAGCGAATATTTAAGATCTAATTTAACAGTTATTAAGATAAGGAATTTGAAGAGTAATCTTTCCAACTAAATATACGGTTTTCCCTAATCCAAAGAAAATTTCTTGGCGAAAAACTACTATATTTGAAGACTAGTAGTACAATTTGCATAATTTATAAGATCCTTTTTTGATGACAATTAGTTTACTAGAATATGGTTGTTTTAATTTCAAACGTTTTAGATAAATTCATTTGAATCAATAACTTACGATAAGGAGAAATATTTCCTAATTTTACTTTGTAACGAATGTAATTATTGAGACTTATATTCGAAAAACCTATATACTTATATCCAGAGTAGAGTCAAGAACCTTTCCAGTCATTTGAAATCTCCCATTTAAGTGATGGATACTTAGATAAAATAAGACGATATAGATAATCAGTTGAGTGGGTTTTTTAATACTAAAGTTCTCTCAAATAAGAAAATTTGTTAAGTTGCAAAAATTTCCAAATTAATGAATTCTTTTGTTTCTTTAAACTGTTGGTTATTTACATTCCGATATGTAAGCATTTGTAACGTCCATATTATTTTTGATTCATGTTTTGAAGGATTCGATTTAATGGAAAATTATGACTTTTCAGTCTGGTTCGGATATTACAGAACTGAAAATATAATACTTCAAGCTAATTCTCCAAACAACCAGTTATTTAAATTCACTTAAACAAAAAGATATTGGTAATTAAATTAGATTTATCCGAACCATCAAATAAACTCAATTTACGAAAATGTTGGGTATAACATCATTTTCATACTCTTAGGAGCAACATGAAAATGCGTAAATTGATTGCATACTAATAATAACACGATGGAAACCTGATGATGAATTATTAAATTTTTTCCCATAAAACTACTTAATTAGTGTACAGAAGACTATTACTGGATTCATAAATCTTTCCAGAGGTGTTTAATTATCGAAAGACACAAATACACTGCGTTGTAATTATGAACTACCGCAGAATGGAAGCCTTAGTATACATGACCAGTTTTTTCCTGATTCGGAGGAGAATCATATGATGAGAAAAATATCACTCGCCAGTAACAAAAGTACAATATCAATAGAAAACAGGAAAAGACACCCCACCGATTCCCAACTTATCATGATTTATGTATGAGAGCAATTATTAACCACTGATAAATATCAACAATAACTAGACAAGAGGAGCGGTGGCTTACTGGATAAGGCACTCGACCTTCAGTCAATGCAGCAAAGGTTCGAGCTCCGCTCCACCTACCATGATTCGGACAACCGGGTATTATTAACAAGCCCTTTAGAATGTAGCTCAAAGCCAAGTGCATAAATCTGTACCTGGTAGATGAGTTAGTAAACAAAATACACAAAAGGATAAATTCGTCAGCAATTATAGGCAATATAGTTTGCCCAAATAAAACATGATACCAAGATGTAGCATGTAAATGTCCCAAAGACAAACATCTCTTATCATTCACGAGCTTTTCTGATTTGCTGAATACATTTACAACTACTTTTTCGGGTCCATTTATTTATTGAAATCCAAGCAACCAGGCAATATTAATCAAAACCTTTCAGACAATATATGAGCATCAATGTGGTTACCTAACTGAAATAATTACGTGAAATCTATTACTTCACTTGAAATAGTATGTGCTGTTAAACGAAGCAGTATATTGGTGTTTTTTTTATAAATGTCGGTTAACGGACTAAAAGGATATCACAACAAGGTACCCGTCATTTTCTCATTTTTAAACACAGGATTAACTTTTTGAACACCGATGCTTGATTAAAGTCTAAATTAAGGTCATCTACTCCAATCTGAACATCAGTATAATATTGGTGTTTGCTATACAAGACGACTGATAGCTGAGTACACTAGCTCGCATGAAGTTGGGGTAGTGACCTTTGATTTAGTACTTTCAAGTCTTTAGATATATCACATTTGAAACAAAAGTCTAGAATTCGATTTTGTGCAAATAAATAGCTGCCCTAAAGTCTTATCAGAATATGTGTCCGTTTGTAGCCACAAGACTATATTGCTGGATTTTAGATGTTTGAAAAGTGAATTAAAAATTTTCACGAAGCGTGAGAAAGTAGCCAAAAATTAGATTAAACAGCGATGTTTCATTTCATTTTATATCAAATTATCCGTTTCACCGATTTAATTAAATTCAGTATGGACTATATTAAAAAAAACTCGCCTTAGTAGCTCATGATACAAAGTTTATAGATTAGCTAACAAGGAGTACAATACGAAACGATTGGATAAAATGGAGACGACGAAAGCATTTGGATACCTTAACCTAACTGGAAAATCACCAATGATTGAAATCAGGTCATACACATGATTGTTTGTCAACTAATCATCTCCCATACATAAATACACATTCTATGTTTCCATATATCCATAAATATGTATTATATATGCACTAATAGTTAGTTAAATTGTAGTGAAGGAAAACGCAGATGAGGACAATCGAACTATGTTTGGCACAAAATTACAGTTACTTGGTAAAATAGAAAAACCATACTATTATACTTAATTTGCAAAATGTTCAATAATTGTCTCGGACTTCATTGTTCTTGCATTTCCACACTAATTGCTTTCTATTCCCATTCTTCCTTTCTTGATCTTCCCAATCTTCTGATACCAGACATTACATTCCTGACTCGCGTTATATACTACTTATGTCAATATAAGTAGCACGCACCACAAAATCACAGAAAACGACACCAAGAAAAATTGACGATATACGAAACCACAACTTACATGTTTTGTTAAGAAATGGCTGATGGATAATACCAGCTATTGGGTGATCATGAAGTACAATACATATCATGACGCTAACATATTCATTTAAGCCTTCTACCATAGCACATTCAGAAATAAGACAAAATAAACTGTGAGAAATAGTTACATGGCACATATATTAATCAGATATATACATTAAACAAAAAAGGTAAAGATGCGGAAAAGTAACTGGTGCGCCCACACTCACGATACTGTGACTGGCTGGAGGGAGGTCAATCCACATCATTCTGTTAACCAGAGGTAGGACACAAACATCTATGGATTGTATAAAAGTGACTAATAGAGCTCTTTGTACTAGAATACGTATTTTTCTACCTTCTATGTCAGTTGGTAATTGAGTCATGCATATTGTAGTTCATTCAAACATTGCGTCATTCTTACCCATTCAGCTCAGTTAGGTTTCTATATGACGAATCACATGGTTAGTTCTGATTAACTCATCTAAGAAACGAAAAGAAATCATCGTTTCACTAAAGGCTAAGTACTTTCTGGTGAAACTAATTCAACAAACCATCTGAATCTAAAATGCCTATGTAAAAGGCTTTCTATGCAAAAAGGAATCACACCGAATTACTTAGATTGAAGTATGCTCACAGCAAAGTACTATAGTTATGAATAAAATCAATACCAGAGTACTCTACGCTTAGATAATCAATTATTAAAATAATTAACGCAATATAGCTTAAAAAGACCGTTGGCTGGCTGTCATCTGTGCTGGTGAAAATCTTTTGGTCAATAAATATAGTTTATCAAATAAAAGAACTATTACTGCGATGTAGTCTTAATATTCACTACCCTTAAAAATTACAAAAGCGATTGATTCTAATGAGAATCAATATAATGTCTTCCAATACTAAACTTGCAGTCATTACCATTAACTATACTCAGGAACTTTGACATTTTGCAACACATTCTATAGTACCATATGTTGCTGAGAAAAAAAGTACATAATTCAGTTTCTGTTCGATAAGCTTTTGTAACCGGTTCTCTGAAAACTGGTGAAAGAATTTTAGGAACAATTGACTTGTTAGTTGAAATTGTTTTTTTACATTTAAGTTCTGCTAAAAAAAGACTCCGTTTTGAACAACTCTTATCAATCACAATAAAATAAGACAGATGAGAGTGTGTCATTTTGGTAAACAATTACTTAAGTGAAGATGGGAACTCCAAAGATAGCAGTGTACGTAAAATGACATACTACGTGGTATAAATTTACAGCGTATATCGTAGCATAATGACAGTCACGTTAAAAATTTTATTACAAACAACAAATAAGTATTAGTGATCTTACTATGTAAATGATTGTGATTCAGTACCACATTCAACTAAGTGTTCAACGGGAAATTCAGAACGTATTCTTATGTCATAAATACGAAAAAGGGATTTATTATGGACATACTATTCATTCTCGATCCAGGAGATTGGATCGATGGGCAGAACACTTTAGGGGTTAGTTCAAATGGCCTTCAGCCACACTTCGGTTTCCCACGATCTCTAGTCAACCTGAATGGCAAGTTAATGTAGGTCCTCCGTCCCTTTACGAAGTTGAAAAAGCCATAGGAAATCTGAAACGAGGGAGAGCAGCAGGCCCTGACAGGTTTACTCCTGAGATTTTTAGGGATGGTGGTTCAGTATTAACAGTGAGATTAACTGAGGTCTTAGGTAGAATTTGGGAACTGGACATAATCCCATCTGACTCGACTCAATCACTGATTGTGCCAGTCTTTAAGAAAGGATAAAAGTCCTCTTGTGACAATCACAGAGGAATCAGTTTGACTAATATAGTATCTAAAATATTAGCTTCAATAATACTTCGACGCCTAATCAAAGCTCGTGAAGAGCAGATTAGAGAAAACCAGGCCGGTTTTCGACCTGGACGTGGTTGTATAGATCAGGTATTCACACTACGCCAGGTTCTAGAACATAGACACACATTCAGACGCTCCACAATAATAGAATTTCTCGACCTTAAGGCGGCATCCGACTCTGTTGATCATGAGGTTCTATGGCATTGTTTGTCACTGAAAGGAGTACCAAAGAAGTACATTAACCTTATGAAGGCTCTCTACTCGAACACAACTAGTAGAGTGAGAGCTTATGGCGAACTGTCATCAGAATTGATCACCTCAAGTGGTGTTCGTCAGGACTGTCCACTCTCTCCTTTCTTGTTTAACTTTTCGTGCATTTAAAGATAAGACTTTCCTCATCTAATTCCACAGAGGTTGAACTTCTACTGGGAAATTCACTTTTTGACCTAGAATATGCCGATGACATAGTTCTATTTGGTGAAGACGCTGACGAAATGCAGAGTCTTATGACCACTCTAAGCAACAATGCAAGCATGCTTGGGATGCGATTCTCCCCCTCAAAATGCAAAATGTTCCTTCAGGGTTGGGTTGCATTGACACCCGAACTAATGATTGGGGGTGAAGTAATTGAGCGTGTCGATCGCTTCACTTATCTTGGAAGTCTTATCAGCTCTTGTGGTCTGGTGTGTGACGAAATCTCAGCACGGATACAGAAGGCTCGACTAGTTTTGCCAACTTGCGTCATTTATGGCGTAGGCGAGATATCCGTCTACCAACCAAAGGACGTGTTTACTGTGCAGCAGTTCGTTCCGTCCTACTCTCTGGCAGTGAAACATGGCCGGTAAGAGTAGAGGATATTCGTAGGTTACTAGTATTTGATCATAGGTGTCTTCGAAATATTGCTCGTATATCCTGGGACCATCGAGTAAGTAACGCAGTTGTTAGGAAACGGGTACTAGGTAAGGATGGCAAATCAATTGATGACGTAGTGAAACTTCATCAGTTGAGATGGCTGGGACACGTGTTACGAATGCCCAACGAACGACTGCCTCGAAGTGCGATGTTCAGTGGTATAGGAGTAGGTTGTAGGAAAGCTAGGCGCGGCCAGACCAAAACATGGCACAATTCCATGAAGTCACTGACAAGTGGACTGAATCATGTTGGTAGGTGTAGACTACCTGGTTGGGGACTGCGAGATGATAGCAACCGATGAATAGAGACCCTGAATGACATGGCTCAAAATGGTTTGCAATGGCGCAGGTGCATACACTCTTTGTGTTCTCCCAAATTTTGATCTCCTTATTCCTCCTTGTCTCTTTTTTTCTCTGCCCAAATTTATTTCACTGTATTATACTTTTTAAATAACATCTCCAAACACTAATTTTTCTGATTACTGCTCATGCTCTTATTATCTCTACCACTACGGGATTTGAATCGACCACTGCATCTCTGTGCTAATGTGGTGTGGCAACTCGAACTGATGTACGTACAACGAAGTGCTACGTCTTATTATCTAACAGCCTTATATACTTCACATAAACTTTTTTAAAGCAGACGGGATCATTAAAATGAACTAATCGAATGAAGGAGATTCTTGTGATCCATGCTTTAGTGCTGAGTACGACCGGATTCCTTAACCCGAAGTAACTACAGGTGAGAATCACGAAGAAATATTTTGTAATAATGTAAAAAGGGAGTTTGGGAGAATCGATAAATTGTGTTTGAAGCGTACCAAAGAAGACCCATAATCAATGATTGTAGCATACATGTTGGGACTACATTAAAAATGTCATAGACAAGCATAAAAACAATAATACTCCTAAAATTATGACAATTTTAAACCTCAAAGACTACAAATTGTTTTTTTAAGAAAGAGATAAAAATGAAGTGCATTAAGGTTAATTACAGTTTGACAGTTCAATAAACAATAAACACAATATCTTTTACTAAAGCGAGAATATATGAAGTGACTGAAAGATTGATAAACGCTTATTTACTAAGCGAACGAAAAAAGTAATGAGATCATTCTAAAAACTTGACTTTAGACGTCTATTTTCAGATATTGTGATGCTCCGAAAAGTAAATTCTTCTGCAATGACATTGCAGAGTAGACATTTAGCCACAACTTTAGTTCAATAATCCTTTACATAGTAAAAGTGACGAACAAACTATCTTACCTGTATACTCTTGAGTTCCGTCTAAGGGATCTACCCATATTACCAAATCTGTAATAGGCACAAAAAGATCATCATTAGGAAGAGAACTTTGAAAATCCGAATGATAAACACTTTCTTTATAATCAAACAGACGGTGTGTTGGTAATTCATGCTCTTCGGAGCGAACCTAGAGAAGAAAATTACAAAATCACTGATTCACCAGGATTTTTAAAATTAAAGAGCAATTAGAAACTAATAACATCAGCTTATCAGGAAAATACGAGGTTCAAAATAACCATAGCGTGAAATTACTACATACAATATGATAAATGAAAATTATTAATGCAAATACCTTGAAGTAACGTTCAGTTTAACAAATGATTGAATTTAGAGAATTATTTCAAGAGTTGGAGAGAGAAAATAATGATTTAATTTGACAGACGTCACTTATGTGGAAAACATAGGCCAAAATATGTCATGCCCCCTAATGCCCTGGTACGGCCGAGAGTGGGGAGAGTCCGCTCTCCCTCTCGAAATACTCTCACATGGCCACGCGTATATAGCCTCTACCAGGGAAGTTCTACTCATTGACTCGTGGCGGGGGTGTTGTTTACGAAAATGAGAGGACGAAAAGCGAATGTCCGGCGCTTTAACCGGATCACAAACCAATGGTGCGCATGGGCACCAGTATCCTGCGGTAACAAATGGCGTATGAACCACTCGTTGGTCACCTGCTACCATGGGATTGAATCTCCTTACGATGCTCCACTGCCTTGTGGGTTAGACCTTTAGGTCAAAGGCTCGGGGAGTGGCCTCCTAAGATAACCACCTGCTTCGGTTCGGGCGCCCGGGCAGTATCACAGCCCACACACAAATTGATGAACTCTCTATGCCTATGGAAATTACTTTTCTCGCTTCGAAAAACAAGCAACTGATTCAAATTATTATTATTATTTTCCACATTATTCACCCTCTTTTATACTTATACAGCGGCTCGTCTTTGGTGGAAATTCGACTGTATCTAAATGTTCTCGTGTCACTGTCCGGTTGAAAATTGTATGTTACCACCGAATATGAGTACTGAAGCAGCTTTTCTGAAACCACGTGCACCATTCAAACTGGCTGTCTTCAACCTTCGCACATTTATGCAGATCGGACAACAGATAGGGCTGGCTATGTCTTTAGAAAGTCTTAATATTGATGTTTGTTGTCTATCCGAGACCCATATTCAAGACTCTGGCGACGTACTACAAATTCGATCACCATCTGTCGCTTCAAAAAACTTGTTTTACGTGCGCTTATCCGGGGATCCCGTGGCATTTTCGTCTGGTCTCGCTGGCGTCGGTGTCGCACTTAGCGCTAGAGCTGAAGTCGGTTATGTGCTGTTAGATCAGAAAGTTTCATCAAAGTGAGAAAAAATCGGCGTGAGAAACGATGTCTCTTCGTCATCTCCGCCTATGCCCCAACAGATTGCAGCCCGGATGCAATCAAGGATGAGTTTTAACACCAGTTATCTGTTCTTCTCCAGAAAGTGCGTTCGACAGATATTGTAGTACTAGCCGGAGACTTGAATGCTCAGGTCGGGCGTCTACGCACAGAAGAGAGTCGTTTAGGTGGCCGACGGGGACTCGTTGGTCGCAGGTCAGATAACGGGGACCGTCTGCTGCAACTGCACAGACCACAACCTGTTTCTGGCTAGCACTAACTTTCGGCACAGTCATCGCCGATGTGCCACCTGGCGTCCTCCCTCTGCATCTCAAGCTTGGACTCAGATTGACCACATCGCGAACAGCTACCGCTGGCGTGATTGAGTACAATACTGCCGCGAAACGTCCCGCTTGTAAGCAATGGGTTTCTGCAGGTTCCTTACAACTCATTGAAGCCCGTCGGTCTACTACAGGTGACCGTGGGTTTGACCATAAACGAAGGATTTTACGTAAGGAAATTGGGCAAAGCTTGAGTAAGGACCGAGAAGCCTGGTGGTCGAAGCGTGCTAATGAGCTGGAAGCAGCAGCTGCATCTGGTCACTACCGGAAGCTCTTCCAACTCATCCGAGCCACTGGCAACAAGAAGTCTGGTGTGAGCTAAACAATCTACGAGGATGATGGGATGCCAATCACTAACATCCATCGACGTCTTGGACGATGGGCAGAATTTTTCGACGGGCAGTTCAACTGACCTGCTGCTCCGGCAACATCGGTCAGACTGTCTTGCCCTCCATGGCCGGTGACGATTGATCCACCAAACAAGGAGGAAGTCCGCAAGGAACTCCAACTCTTGAAGCGTTACAAATAACCGGGCCCATATGACTTACCTCCGGCTCTTTTTAAAGATGGTGGTGACTTTTTGACTAAGGAATTGACGATGTTGTTTACAAAGGTTTGAAAACTAGAGAGCGTACCAACGTCATGGAATGAGTCAATAGTTGTCCCTATCTTTAAAAAGGGTTCACGTCGTTCCTGTAACAACTATCGGGAATAAGTCTACTTCCGATTGCATCCAAGCTATTGGCTTTCGCCATACTTCGTAGGTTGTTCAAAACCCGAGAAAGATTGACTCGCGAGGAGCAGGCTGGGTTTCGTTCTGGTCGAGGATGTATTGATCAGATCTTCACCCTCCACCAAATGTTAGAACACCGCCATACTTATCAAAGGCCAACAATCGTAGTGTTTCTTGACATCAGGGCTGCCTTTGATTCGTTGGACAGGACTGTTCTCTGGGATTGTCTATTGAAGAAGGGTGTGCCTGAGAAGTTTATTAACATCTTGAAAGCCCTATACACAAACACCACAGGCAGAGTGAGGGCATACAACCACCTCTCTCCATTGTTCCATTCGAGTAGTGGGGTAAGGCAGGTTTGCACAATCTCACCATTCCTCTTCAACTTTGCCATCGATGATATTCTGGAAACGGCTCTGATGGATGTAAGTAATGGTGGTGTGGATCTGTTGCCTGGAGAAAGACTTCTCGACCTTGAGTATGCGGACGATATTGTCTTACTGTGCGATAATGCTCAAGCCATGCAATCCGCATTTAATCAGTTGGCAATCAGTGTCCGTAAGTATGGTATGTGCTTTGGACCTTCGAAGTGCAAAGTACTTCTACAAGACTGGCAGGATTCTAATCCTGTACCCACTCTGGATGGTGAGCAGATAGAAGTAGTCGAGAAGTTCGTGTATCTGGGTAGCTGCATAAGTGCTGGTGGCAGTGTGAGTGATGAGATCAATGCACGTATAGTGAAAGCCAGAGCGGCTTATGCCAATCTGGGCTATCTTTGGCGCCTTCGTGATGTTAGTCTGGCTGTAAAAGGTCCTATCTACAACGCGTTGGTGAGAGCAGTTCTGCTCTATGCTTGTGAAACCTGGTCTCTCCGAGTTGAGGACGTTAGACGACTCTTTGTGTTCGATCATCGCTGTCTCCAAAGGATTGCTGACATCCAGTGGCAACACCATGTCAGTAATGCAGAAGTTCGGCATCGTGTGTTCGGGCACAGAGATGATAATGCAATCGATGTCACCATCTTGAAACATCGACTTTGATGGCTTGAACACGTTTTACGAATGTCGTCCCAGAGAATTCCACGTCGTGCATTATTTGCCGACTCGGACTGGTTGGAAGAAGCGGAGAAGTGGTCAATGTATGACATGGTGTCGTGGCATGAAAGAAAGCTGCAAAGAGTTGGCTTCTGTTAGTCCTTCACGACTCCCTGGCTGGGGTCCGAGAGATGGTGCAACACAGTAGCTAGAGACGTTATCAGATATGGCTCAGAGTAGAAGCCAGTGGCGATCCTGCTGTGACCTTCCCTTACTTTCTTCATAAAAAGTGGTTGTATCTTCCTTAACTGAAAGATTTCTTCTGATTGTACCTTTCCGTTCCCTCATTCCTTCCATACTACCTTACACCAATCTCCTCGTTATTGTTCTCTCTTTTTTGCGCTCCTTAGCTTTTTTTCTCTATTTCTCTTCGAATTTTCATTGTTTTGTGTGGCGCATATATATTGGCGCTTTCTTGTACCAATATTCATGTGTTCAAATAAATAAATAATAAAATATGTCATACAAAATGTTCGCTATGAGGTGTGGACACAATGTTCACCAAAAATACTCTTGCATATCTATTTGTAACATAAATAACAGTAAGTGTTCTAAATTATGTACATAAAAAGTTAGATCTGAATCTAGAAACAAAAAGCTAAGTAGTAATGTACAGCCTGAGTCAATGAACTCACACAAGCCCAAGAAGTTAAGATCAGCATGACTCATTTCCATTCCAATTACTTTGTCTTATGTGTTTAAATCATTTGAGGTTATAACTGAAAGGTGAAAAACCAAATTAAGATCTAGTACTGAGTTTCGTTAATTAGGATATGTGAATTCTCATTTTAAATATAAGTAGTAATGATATCACTACTCACATTTAATTGACGAACGTCATGACAATACGACCAATGGTTGTTGTTATATTAAAAATGTTTGCAACTTTGGCAGTTATCCACACTTATTCAGATAGAAACCATAAAATATATCGTATTTACTATAAATAACATTCACGTGGAAAACTTTAGAAAGTTGATCAGTTCAGTTATGCCGTTAGTAACAAATCTGAATATTATTTACTACTTCATCCAATTGCTAAAAGCATTTCACAGGGAAGTGGTAGAAAAATACCATCTACAATTTTGGTAGACATAGTAGCCTAAATGAGAAGCGAATTGATATAAGTCCCAAAAGGATTTTTAATGCTTACAAAGAATTGAAGCAACGATAAAATAAATACAAATAGGCAAACTTTAGAACGTACTAGTAGCTCTGGAAAAGCCGAGGTCAAACCCGACACGATTATTTGATGAGATCCCAGGTCCGCATCTGTCAGAGGCTCTCGCTTCAGCATACCCCCGTGTTTGGTACGTGAATTAAGGCTATGCTTCAAACTAATAAATTTTATAAGACCACCAGCTTCTTCGGAAAGATGTATGCAGTGAGTTAACAATCTTCGAACACTGGTAACTTCCCCTTTAAGATGTCCGATAGGATTAAATGACGACAGATAGTACAGAAAGATAACCAAAATGCTTATAATCAGAACACACCACCCATGGGTACTCAGACGGATAGTCATCATTTTGATATGATATACCAAGTTTTTTGGCGATTATGGTACTATCGTGCACTCAACTTAAGTAAAGAAACGATAACTTGTTGCACACCACACGTAAGGTATAAGAAAATTATGATAGCACATCTAAAATAAAAATTGGAAAGATGAATAAGGAATTGATCGATCCAAAACTAGTACGTACATGTGTTAGAAACAATCTCGATTAGCACACAAAATAGTTACTGCGATTTCCATTTAATTATACAAAGTACAGACTCGAAAAATGTTGTGACTTCGTAGCGGGCAACAGTCGAAAGTACTCACAAATGAAAAGACGAATGTGTGGACATTATTCCTGTAGTACTTTGAAACCTCGATAATCTGACAACGTAAAGCAATTTATTGGTTCCGCATTCACAAACAAAATGAATTACGTAACAAAAAATAGGAAATCAAGCAATCTTCAGTACACCGATAAATTTGATTAAGGAGTTTAAAAATATGATCAAATGTTGTTAACCGATAAACCCTCATTACGACTAACATCACTGGGCAGAAGTTCTTTGATAAATTAGATGTTAATATATTTTGATGACGCACATCTACGTTAGTTGCAAAAACGTAGTTGACAGGTTTTCTTTACAGAAAAGACCTGGATTTATTTACAAAAATGAAACCATTTACATCAACCTAATACATATTTCTACAATAATTTTCATTCTCACAAATCATTGCAATTCGTGGTTTTTGAGAATCAGAATGTTTTTATTTCCCACGATGGATACGTATTCAGCAACTAGTTATCGCTGACAGCTTAAATGGTCTTCCTTTGGATTACCTCTAATGGAAGCTATAAAAATACATTTTTTTAAAGAACCCGAACTATAAGACACAACTTAATCACAATTAATGACTGAAAGAGGAATAATAGCATCCCAAATCGTATCATCATCGTTTTCTGGTGAAATAACGTTATACAGAAGATGACATACTTATGAGTGTTTTTGTTGTAGCACATGTGGACCGAAACAAGGTTTGGAAAGCATGCACGTATTCAGCGAATTTAAGATAGAGTCATTCAGTTAGTTAGGAATAACTCAGAATCCTGTAACAAAAGTTTATTGATCATATTCGCCACACCAAATCACCACAGTCGCCGGAATAACAAAGTACTAGAGGTAACGGTAGTATTAGCGATAGTAAAAAAGATAAGTCAAAGAGATTATTGGAGAAGTAGTTAAATCAAAGAATAGCAGATATGATAATTCGGAAGCTCATGATGGAAGAGAAGACAAAAATGAATAAATCTGTATCAACAGTTTCATCGAATGATGAATAACTCTTGTATCTAAACTTTTTGACGCGTAAATACCGAGCAGACAATAGCGGAGCGTGCCCTCTCTGATGGGTGGTTGAGCATAGTTCTAGTGCCACAGGTGGCAAAGGCTGTAAAAACCCAAGCATTTTCATGTGCGCGACTTAATACTAACGGCTGAAAATTGACCAGTGGCAATGAAACTGACGATAAGGAGAGTAGCCTACTACCTTTGTTGATAGGTTAGTCTGGAATAGTAACGAAATATAAGTTTATTTACTCTGCTTTGAGTTCTTTATTATGATGATACATACCAGCTGAAAAAGCTAAAGTAGGTGTGGTAGGGACTGAAATCAGATTATAAAAGATAATTGTGACCTTTAAGTTACTTCTGGTTCCATGAACTACTGTCTGAAGGATATAAGCAATTTAAGGACTTTTTCACTGTGATACAGGAACAAAAAGAAATAAACACTCAGCATCTTCATCCATAGAAATGTGGATCTACGAAAACAGATTATGATACATTTTCCCCCAGCAGTATATCCATGTAAAATTTGAAGGATGCGAGTGGTAGACGTCCCTGATGGGAACAATTTAACATAGCCATTTTGGGTGACGAACACCAGTGATTAATAATAATACACGACCTTTTGACCGACAAAGATGAATGCTACTTATAGGTCAACAGACACAGTTAAAGGGGAAAGAAAACAAGTACATTAATGTCCTGAAATGTGAAGGAAACCAACAAAGTAAACCGATAAGAGCTATCGAACCCAAATCATTACCAAGTAGATCAAAGATCTAGTTCACATTAATCACAAATACTTCTTTGGTAAATGATTGTTTAATACTGGCTAAACTTACAAGGCATACTAAAAACCAATTATAAGTAAGAAACAACAAATACCTTTACGAGCATGATTATTTGGATTACTTTTTGTCTTTCCCGGTCTTGTTCTTTCCAGGGATCCTGTTCATGACAGAGCCGTAAGGAATGAGAATCTCAAACGATAGAGTTCGATTATACAGACTAAACTATTTTAGCCATACTGGTACAATAGATTCATGAAGTCATTACATGATGATTTTCATCAGAGTAAGACGTAACTAGACCTTTGTGTTAATTATCTAAACCGGAAACATAGGACTTTACGGAGACACAAATTATCTAAAATACGAAAGACTTGTAAACTTGGACCATTATTACAATACACCGATTTGTTGTAAAAGCTTGTTTATTGTTCTAATATGATATGGTTTGATCTGGGACAGATGAAAATGAGACACGAACCATCTCACCAATGGTTTAAAAATGACTACTGTGTTTTAGACGTCTAACTGTCCGAGCGTCGTAAAAACACTGGTTAGCAAACTCAATTTTGATGAGCGAGTATGGGTTTTTGTGTTGACCATCCTCCTTTTAAAAAAGACATTTTCAGACGGATTAATAGGCTTGGTCAGCAGTTCTACTCACAGACCGTTTCCAAAATGCTGCTGGTAGCAAGCATAAGATCTGGGTGTTATCATTAGTTGTAGTAACTAGTTTCCATTACTAACTTGCCACTTTATTACGTTAATTATACCAGACAGAAAGTTGAACGTATCCGAGGAAATATTTAGTTCATGTGAATAAATAAAGTAAACATCTGTCCAAATATTTAAAAAAGCTTTTCAGTTAGAATCATATTTTGAACGATCTAGGCAGTGGTCAAAATTAGTGAGCTTTGTAGAAATAACAGAGCATCGATCTTTATGTATTCTTGCTTCTTGAAGTTACACACTGGCTAATTATACCTTCATATACAGAACTCTAATTTTACAGCAAATAGAAAGCCGTGTAAAACAAATGACTACCTTATCCGAACTATAATAAGCATCACATTACTAGGAGCTGACATTTTATTTTATTTGTAGTTAAACAATTACCAATACACTGGGCCGTATACGGTCCATGCAAACGAAAAAGGAAAACGGGAAAGACAGCGTCAAGAGAATCTAAATGTCTATTTTTTCGTCTGATTTCAGTTATTTGAAGAAAATATCTATTTTTAGTTTTTAAGTCGAATATATAATCGACGAAAACCTAAGAACACGGCTGGGTGATATACAGACTTCAAATATGCCTCTGGTTTTTAAGAACGTTTTAACAATTTTCATGTCATAAATAGTAAATGAATCCATAACGGTAGTGCAACAATAACAAAAATATAATGATTACTACAAAAATAATGCTTTAAGATTTGGTTTCTTGTTTAGCAGAATGTCGGACAAGGTTGACAATCACATCTAGCGGTAGGTAAATACTCGAATTTACTAGTCTTCTAAGACCTCACCATTGATTATAGCTCCATTGGTTATGCTGGACACACACTGGTTGAAGGTTTTTCGTTACTCATCCACTCATATCATCGTGCTATTCGTCCTTCTCAACGACAGTTCAGCTTAGATCAAACAATTCTCGATATACTACATACCTCCCATCTATATCTTCGACTTCAAATGGTTCAAATGGTTGTGGATGGAATAGAAGCTTTCGCTTAACAGGATTCCGTGTCTAGTAGCAGGGGATTAGGAATAACTCCAGGCAGGAACCTAGGTATGTCGACGATAAAAGAGGAAAAAGAAATTGATAAATCATAGTATGATGCTGTCCTTAGGCCTTAAGAATAGATCAAGTTGCCTCTTAAATGACTCCTGGGAAGTCGCTTGAACTGGCTCGGACGGCAGCAAATTCCAGAATTAGATAACTCTTAAGGAGTAGAAGTTGTGTCAACAGTCCGTTCTGCTATGTTGTGTCTCCAGTTTTCGGGTGTTACCTCTTAGGTTAGTGTTGGAACTAAGCTTAAGTAGGTGTTTAAGAGGATGTCCAGAAGTGCTTAGGATACTGTAAGCCATTAGAAGGTCACCTCTAAGACGCCTATACTCTAATGAGTGAAGGTTAAGTGATTGGAGGCGCTCTTCATGAGGTTAAATTTGTGTCCTCGAACTGACTTCAC